TATCTTTTTTAGTTGTTTTTTTTTTGTATTGGGCATATTGTGAGTGAATTTTATTAATGTTTTTTTATGTCCAGCACAAAATTATGCTATACGTTTTAAGTGGATTAGATTGAGAACCTAGAGGCTAAGAAGGTTCTTTTGAATAAGACAAAAATGTATAGAAGTTAGTATTGGTCAAGTAATTAAGATAAATAAGAGATAAATAAAGCACATCTTATAAAGCACATCTTATCTTAAGCAGAACTAGCTTCTTTGCTAGCCACTGACCCTAACCCTAACCTTCTAATCCTTTAACACAAGATATTTAACATTTAACATATAAATACCATAGGCCTCGGTTAGCCATTACACATGTAATACTTAAGTATTTTTCTTGTTTGTTGACTAGTTTGTTGTTTGTTTTGTGCAGTCTAAAGATTCATACTTACAAACAGCAAAGAAACCTGTCTGAATAAATGCAAAAGTGTAATGCTACAGTGAGAGACATGTCAAACCACTTAAAGGTTGCATTATGTAAAGATGGAAACACATGGATCATATTGACGAATCTCTTCTTCCGTGTTTGGTCCAGAGCTGCACCTTCTGTTGACTTTGTGGGAGGAGGTGTGTCTGTTTCTGTCAGATGTTTTTATACTATAACCTTTGTCATTTTTTATTTGTTGAGTCCATTCTTTTACAGATACCATTGTATGTTATTACATAGATGGAAAAGCGAGCCTTTAAATGAGTTAAATATAGTAACAGGTTCTGTACTGAAACAGGGTATTGTAAAATATAATGCAGAGATATTTTAACATTACAGGAAAAGTGTATTTACATAGAGTCAACTGAGCGTCAGTTTTACGTTCCTGGTTAGAAGCATACAGCCAATAGAGTTACATTATGACCAGTATTAATATTGCTGAGCGTGCCCCCCTAGCCCAGGCTGTGAGCCCATCCATCCATCCATTCATCTAATCCATTTCTGGGTCAGGGGGGTGGCAGTCAGAGATGCCACCCGAGTCTCATAGCACCAGCCCCTCACTGACCCTCCTGTGGTGAGTCCACAGGAGGACAGCTGGTCTGTAAGTGTGAGCATAGCCTTGATCTTTCAGTGGGGGCTTTGGGCAAAGTGGGGTTAAGTGTCTTGCCCAAGGACACAACGACAGCAGTCATCAGTGGGAGTCAGTGGAGAAGGTGTCGAGGTGGGAATTGAACCCACGACTTTCAGGCCTGAAGGCCAATGCTCTACCAACTGAGCTACTGTCGCCCCTGTGACTCTTAACTGGCACGCGCAAATTTGACCACATCCCCCTTTTTCTTTGTTCTCTTCACTGGCTCCCTGTGCACCTTCGTATTGATTTTAAGATTCTGTTATTTGTGTTCAAATGTTTGCATAGTTTGGCCCCTCAGTATCTGACTGATCTGCTTGTGCCCCACACTCCGTCACGGGCTCTAAGATCAGCAGACCAGGCTCTCTTAGTGGTCCCTAAGACCAGAAAGAAGTCGAGAGGGGATTGTGCTTTTGCAGCAGACTGTGGAATGGTCTGCCTACTGGCGGACTCACTTCCTGTTTTTAAGTCGCTTCTTAAGACTCATCTTTTTACTTTGGCTTTTAACTCAGTGGGTTGACTTTTTGTGCAATTTGTATTCTTGTATATGTGTTGATATTATATTGTGTTTTTACTTGTGGTCAGCACTTTGGTCAACTGTGTTGTTTTTAAAGTGCTCTATAAACAAAGTTATTATTATTATTATTTATTATTCATATGATCTTTTACACCAGAAAAGTGAAAAAAAGCAATATTTTTTTCTGCATATTATGTCACTTCTCCATAGAGCAGTACTTTTACTCCCAACATTAGAAATATTCAAACTAAAACACATCATTGTTGAGTCCGTTTTTAAACTCAAGTTAGCGCTCAAGGAATTAAACTGCTTTTATTATTTTGTAAAACATTTGTTTTTATTCCCATCAAAAAAGTGAATGAGTCTCATCCCTCACTGTGTTGCCGTGGCAATGACGGAAACTGTAGATTATCTGGAAAATCAACAGCTCAAGAAAATGTTATAAGCTTTGTTTTACATTTAAGTTTCCAGTTTCATATTTGAAAAGTAAAACAATGCAGCACGATAGCGCCTCCCCACTGAGACCAGGTGCACTACATTCAGAGACAGTAATGACGGGTTAGCGCCCCATTTTCTACAGTTGCAAGGCACAGTTTGGGGAAGGAGAGGGCCATTCATCGCCGCTTGCGGTTCTATTCATATTAATTATCCATGGTTGGAACTCAAACAACAAAGAACTCTATAGATATGAATAAGTGTGACCCACATTGCTGCTTTATCATATTTTCTCAAAGCCTTCAAACTCGTTCCATCGGACTTGGTCTCTTGGTCTCTGAGTATCACACTTCCAGCTGTAATGTTATACTTTTATGACCTGCTTCAGTCTGGATTTAGGTTACTTCAGGCCTATAGACGCAACCGACAATGTCCCAACCTGATAAAGCCTGAGCCAACCTCAGATAATGACTCAACCGTAGCATAAGAGCAGTTTCATGTAGGTCAGGTGCAGCTGTTACAGATCACCACAGTTTCTACTGCGCTGAGCAAACAAGGAAACGCATGATGCTAACCCTCACCGAAACTCAATTATCAAAGCTCATGTGAGACAGAAACAACAGGAGGGAGGAGTCTGTGGGATCTGACACCAGGGAAGCAGTATTAAAGATATTAGAGGAAAGGATTATCAGAGAATGCTGTCTGCAGCATCAAGCTTGTGCAGCAACCCACCTCCTCCCCATCACCAGCTCATCAGTGGGGAATCGTCAGGTTGTCAGAGGGTCAGCAATCTCATAATTACAAATGCGTCATGTAATATTTTTGCTGGGGTCTAATCGCTAAATCTTATTGATAATATAATGTCTCAAATAAAAACGCAATAAATGCATAGTAATACAGTTTGCATGTGTCAGTATCATGCATCTGCATATTGCCGTTCCTTGCCTCTGGGCATTTGAGGCTGCAGTAGAACCACTGGCTTTAGGATTAATGAGAGTGATTTAAAAAAAACATATAATAATTCTTGATTATGAATTTACTTTCTGCCTTTTGTGTATGTATCATGTCATAAAAAGTACATAAAAAAATTACAGTATAAATCCCACTCATTACTTGCAGTTAGAGTGCACTGTAACATGTGACTTGTGGGTTGTTTCCTTCCTATATCTCATAATTATCACCAATAATTGCACTTTATCAGCTGTTGTCTTATCCTTTAGCAGCAGAACCTGCTAATGTCGATGGTTCTTTCAGTGAAACTGTGTAATGCCGCGATAAAAACATTAAGTGGAATTTGTGCCTCAGTAACTACACAAGCTTATCTTTTCACACTGAACTTTTGGAATATAGAATAATATAGAATAATACAGTATAATACAATATAAGGCCTCAGCAGAAACCTGTTAACTGTGTTTTTGTGTTTTCTTTCTACCTTTCGATCAGTTTGAGACCCACAAAGACACTCCCTGCTGTTGAACTGTTGTTTCCATTGTGTTTTCATGACGTACATAATAAGGGCTGTAAAACTTACACGATTTTTATTCTCTGATAACAACAAGACTGTATCCAGAAAGTTTACAATCTTATTTTCATTCAATTTATTCTTGTACAGCCCTAAATCACAACAGCAGTGATCATGGAAGACTTTACAAAAGCATTGAATTCGGCCAACACAGATCAGAGAATCAAACCGTTCAAACACAAGAAATGCAAAACTTAAAGATATACAGGAGGTTTTTACTACTTCCTACTATTACTGATATTGTCAATCATTCTGGCGATACGTGCTCGTCAAATAAGACCAGAGAGTTTTGTTCAAAAAGTGGAGAGGGCGGTTCTTTTCAAAAATTTGTAACAATCCTCCTATATACTGTTACCTTTAAACTTACAATATTAAAAAAAAAAATTAAAATCTTTTGTCCAAATCACTGTAAGACTTTATGTGTTTGAGCTTGTGTAGTATGGGCCCCACTTCCTATGGCTATATATCATGGCATGGCAAGTTTATTTGTATAGCACAATTCATACACAGCGCTTAACAAATCAAGATAAAATTAAAATCATAAATAATCAAAGTACAGTAGAAAGAAAGATTAAAACATTGTCAGAGAAGAGGCCTGTATCTCATTTTCGGGAAGATTGTTCCAGATTTCCCATGTTTTTATGCCTTGTGCTGCTTAAATCAAATCAATTGCCTCTGGTGGTAGTCAGAATCTTAACCTGAACATAAACTATGTCAGACCGGTTTACTCCTAAAGCCTTATGTCCTATAAAACTTAGAATAGTTCTCTAGTTTGTCATTAACATTGTTAACTCACTCCAGTACAACTCAAATGAATCACACTTCTAATAGACGTTTATTAGATTTGGCAGAATCTGTTGCTAACAAAAAACTTCCCAGTCCAATTTTAATTTCACTTTCTCATTCAGACAAGTAGAATCTATAGAAATAACATGTTTGTGTGTTGTGCGAGCGTCTCATGGTCACCTATCAACTGCATAACAAGCTCTTTCTTTGGACACTCATTACCTTCTGACAGCTATTAACCAAACACGCCCCGAGCTACCATGGGCAAAGGGTCAAGCCATAAAATCACTCACTTTATTTTTAAAAAAGCACATCGCCGTCTTTCCTTTCTCTCCCACATACACACACATGCGGTTATCAAAGTTACAGAGCGACCTGATTGGATACAGTCACTGGACGAGGTGGGCTTGACCGTCGAGCAATAAAACAATAAGTAGATAAGGTTCGGCAAGAGGAAATATCGCAGTCTTGGTTCGTACGCACTTGAAAGACATTCTCACTGGCAAAGATTGACGAGCGTTAGCTTTAGATTGACGAGACTTAACAGACTGGGAGTTATCGGAGAAAGTCAAGAAGACATTTGCTCCACATACAAAAAATTTGGAGTTGATTTTTTTTGTCGAAAGTACGAGAAAACCTCTTTTGAACAATGGTTTCTTTGGCTCTTGAGATCGTTGGTATCACGCTCTCCACTCTGGGATGGATTCTGAGTATTGTCTGCTGTGCTCTACCCATGTGGCGGGTGTCGGCGTTCATCGGCGCCAACATTGTGACGGCGCAGGTGTACTGGGAGGGCCTCTGGATGAGCTGTGTCTTCCAGAGCACGGGTCAAATGCAGTGCAAGATGTACGACTCCATGCTGGCCTTACCGCAGGACCTCCAAGCCGCTCGGGCCCTCACCGTCGTGTCCATAATCATCGGGATCCTCGCCCTTCTCATCGCCACGGTAGGAGCCAAATGCACCAACTGTATCCCAGACGAAGGCATGAAAGCCCGGGTCATGGCATCTTCCGGTGGAGGGTTCATCACCGCAGCCTTGGCTTTGCTAGTTCCAGTTTCTTGGTCGGCGAATACGATCGTGGTCGAGTTTTACAGCCCCATCATTCCTTCGGCGCAGAAGATGGAGATCGGGGTGGCCTTGTACCTGGGCTGGGCGGCGGCCGCTCTGCTCATGATCGGAGGCTGTATCCTTTGCTGCAGCTGTCCTCCGCAAGAAGAAAAAGGAATGAAATACAGCATTCCTCCGCAAAGTCGGGTGGCGTATTCGGTCGCGCCCAGATCAGTGGCTCAGAGCTCGTATAACCGGAAGGATTACGTGTGAAGTTGACGAAAAATAAAGTCCTGGAGGTTGTAATTTAATGTCAAACGCAAAATGTATTCTATCCAGCTGTGGCTTCAGGGTCTAAAGCCTCAACTATTCACAACGCATTCAAGAGACATTGACCACAGTGGACCACGACAAATCTTCAGTTTTGGACTTTTTCTGACCCAAGATGTCAAGTCGTTTTTCAAAAAGTTTCAACAAAATGTCAACTTTACTATTCACTCCATCTCTCAGCAGCTACGTGAGACTTTGTGAGCCTTGTCTTTGTTCGAATTCAAAGAAATAAACTGTTTACGATTAGCACTGGTCAAAAACGTTAGCTTATAAGACCAGTTATTGAATGAAGCTTTTGGACGTTTTTGTTTTGTTTCCAGAAATATATTTATTATGTACTGTTCAAAGTATATAGTAAAACTTTTTATGGTTGTTTGTCTGTTGGTTAAAGCTAGAGCGACATAGATAATATATGTAATTGTTGGCTCCACGTGCAGCCTTCTGTTCAGTCTTGTGACAAAGATCGCAAAGTCCAAACTGAGTCACACATTTGTCGAGGGAATTGCTTACACCAGACGTAATTGTAAAAGTAAATATGACCTGTATTTGCTTAAGAATGTGTTATGTGACCTTAAGAAAAGTTGTAAATACGTCATTTTCTGTTTGATTGCCTTATATTGTATCATATATTATAATAAACTCTTTTTTTACACTAAAACCCGTGTCATTTCTCGATCCTGACATGACGCCACGGTCTTGTACACATTATCAGAATAGATAAGCTGTGGCTGTTTCAGGAAATGTTTTCTTCCTGCAGTTTCTACAAACCCGATACTCACGCTTCCTGTTTTTAATAAAGGCAAATCATCTCAGGACAAAGACGTTGAATATAGGAAATATTTTTGGAAATGGTTTTGGTTGAACTCTACAAGAATACGGGGGAAAAAGATAATATATAAGGTGATAAATGCTTCCATCCGAGTTGTGACTGTTTTAAGACCAGATGGAAACACATGGGGCGACAGTGGTAGAGCATTGGCCTTTGAGCCTGAAGGTCGTGGGTTCCATTCCACCGCAAGACCTTTTCCACTGATGTCTGCTGTCCTTGGGCAAGACACTTACCCCCACTTTGACTGAAGCAAGATCAAGGCTGTGTCATCACCAACAGAGCAGCCTCCTGTGGACTCAGCACATGCAGGAGGATCAGTGAGGGGCTGGTGCTCTGTGTACTGGGTGCAGCTCTGATTACCACCCCGGACCCCGAAATGGATTAAGAGGAAGAAGATGGATGGGTGGATGGGAAACACTGTTTAGGGCAAGGCAAGGAAGTTTATTTCTACAGCACAGTTCATACACAAGGCAATTTCAAAGTGCTTAACAAAACAAGGTCAAAACAATCACACAAGGCATTAAAATCCAAAATAAATAATCACAGTACATTAAAAAGAGTAAAGATACAACCCTTCGGTCGCAGCTAAACAGAACTGTTTTTAACCAGTATTTTAACATTCACAGAGTAGAAGCCTGTCTCACATTTTCAGGAAGACTGTTCCAGATTGTAGCTAGGCCAGGCAAGGCAAGTTTATTTATATAGCACAATTCATACACAAGGCAACTCAAAGTGCTGAACAAAACAAGAAAGCATTAAAATCATAAATAATCACAGAACATTAAAAAGAAAGATAAAAGTATAAAATCCCTCAGTTGTATGCACAGCTGAACAGAACTGTCTTTAACCTGGTTTTAAACATTGTCAGAGAAGAGGCCTGTCTCACATCTTCAGGAAGACTGTTCCAGATTTTAGCAGCATGAATCTGAAAAGCAGCCTCCCCATGTTTAGTTCTGACTCTGGGCACTAACAGGAGTCCAGTCCCTGTGCTCCTCAGAGTCCGGGCTGGTTCGTATGGTACTAACATGTCACTAATATATTTTGGTGCGAGGCCATGGAGAGACTTGTACACAAGCAGAGCTGTTTTAAAGTCTATTCTCTGAGCCACAGGAAGCCTGTGCAGAGACCTGAGAACTGGACTAATGTGGTCGTACTTCCTGGTTCTAGTCAGGACTCGAGCTGCTGCATTTTGAATGTACTGCAGCTGTTTTACAGCCTGTTTGGACAGACCTGTGAGCAGGCCATTGCAGTAGTCTAACCTACTGGAGACAAATGCATGGATAAGGGCTCCAGGTCTGCTTTAGACACTATGTTTTTGATCCTGGCAATGTTTTTTAGATGGTAAAAAGCTGCTGATGTTACTGATTTGATCATTAAAATTTAAGTCTGAGTCCAGTATTACCCCTAGATTTCTGACCTTGTTTGAAGGTTTTAGGGAGAGAGACTGTAGATGACAGATGACGCTCTCTCTTTGTTTCTGGGGACCAAAGACAATCATTTCAGTTTTGTCTGCGTTTAGCTGAAGGAAGTTGTTTTGCATCCACTCACTGATCTGTTGGATACAGTGAAGGAGTGAGTCCACTGGTCCATGTTCTCCTGCAGTCAGTGAGACATAGATCTGAGTGTCTTCAGACACTTCGTTTCTGCGTATTAACTGACCTAGCGGCAGCATGTAGAGATTGAACAGAAGAGGTCCCAGGATCGACCCCTGTGGTACTCCACAGGTCAGGGCCATATGATCTGAGACACAGTTTCCAATCTCCACAAAGTACTCCCTTTCCTCAAGGTAAGACCTAAACCAACTTAGGGCGGTGCCAGCGCTCTCCACAAATCAATTATGAAACATCAGTTCAATATGAGTCAGTGTTGAGGTCTGTTTTAAGCTTGTTTTGATGAAGCAATAATGTGACCGGGGCTGAAATCCTGACCGGCAACAAGCTCCATTTGAGCTGCAGTGTAAATAATGTTGTTGTTTTGCCATCAACAAAAGAGACGCAACAGTTAGAATAGACTTTAGACTCGGCTTTGGTCTCAGGTAGCTCTAAGTTTTCATTTGATCTGGTTTCTATAGAGATTATTGTCTGAGGAGCACAGGGACTGGCCTTCTGCTGGTGCCCAAAGTCAGGACTAAACATGAGTTTAAATTTACACTGCAAAAATCTTCCCAAAAATATGAGACAGGCTTCTTCTCTTCTCTGACTTGAAATCTTTTTTTGAAGGCAGTCAAAATGTGCTCAAAATAAGATATTCTTTATAAGATATATGAGGTATTTCTGGCTCATTTTTCATCACTTTTTGTTGTGAATATATTTATCAGACCACAACATGCTGTCATATCTTTAGCATACAAACCCTCTGAGTCACTTTTTGAGTCTTTGGGCCGAGAGCTGATTGGCTGAGGGAGGGTGGTCTTCTCTTGACGTAATAAAATACATGTACTATACAGAATACAGAACCAAATTGTTTTGAGACAGAGGAACTATTTACGCTGCAAAAACTGATGAATAATAAGTCAAAACGTTCTACATTTCATTAAATTTATCTTAATTTGATTTGATTTTCCAACTGGACAAAGTAAAAATATCTTGTTTTTAAACGACACAAGAAATGTCTCTCTTGGAATGAGAAAATAAAGAAGCATCTCTTGAATTAAAGAAGCTATACCCGATTTTTTTTCTAAGTAGTTGACAAAAATGCTTATTACTACATACAAGTTGTATTATAATCCGTGATTTAATTGAAAACTTGAGGTAATTGATTCAGCGGTGTAAGAATTACAAGCAGTGAAAAGTGCTGAGTAGAGTCTGAGCGGGACGCTCGTTCTCCTCCACTCACAGAACGAGCAGCAAACAGCCTGCGTCCTCTAGCCTCTACAGCGCTGCTTAACACCAGGGCTTCGGCTTCGAAATTCAAATATAATTCTAAAATTAAAAATATATATATACATTCGAACACATATTAGACAGCCCTTACAATTCGAAATGTATTCAATAACTGCAAATAAAATAGTTAGCTCCCAAAGGTTCCACCGGGACGAGCTAGGCAGGTAACAGCTAAGCTAGCTAGCTCCCTGGAACTACATGTTAATGGTTACTTCCTGGTTTTTTGTGATCGCTTTTTGTCACGTTAAAATAGTAATTTGGTCATGAAAACGATAACAAGAAATTCTGAAAAAGTCTGTGCATGTGTGTTAAGGATGTATATGTATACTGTATTGTCCGATTAACATTTAATGGTGTTGATTGATAGATATGTAGTTGATTATTGGGCGTGGCTAGCTCGGCTAGCGTCCCTCATTGTACTTGCAAAGTAATGGCAGTATTTTACACACCTGAATTACAAACAGAGATTGCATTGTCAAAGGGCAGCGGTCATTATTGATTCGAGAGTTCTGTTATCAAGAAAAAATTATCGGTAGAATTACATTCAAGTCAATGGAGTGTTCTACTGCTGCTGTGAGGAGCTGTATAATAAATTATAATTAAATATTTCGAATATATTCTAATGTTCTAATGAATAAATTTGGATGTGAAACTAGCAGTATTCTTTTACCTATATATTGTGTTAGCGGTGCGTTGCTTTAGTGCGTTGCAATATATTGATCAGAATGAATGATCTTTGCTTTAGTACCATTTCATCAGTGATTGTTGTACAGCTTACAAGAAGTTGTGCTAATGCTAATGTTAGCATACATATCAGATTGCAAACTGAGCTAGATGGCTCTGTGTTATGAGAGCGTAGGGGAAATGAGAAGCCATTGAGCGAGATGGGGGGCGGTGCTACACATTCAAACCTTGCAGAAACGGGTATAGCGCCTTTAAGACTAAATGGTTTTGTCCCATTTGAGAATAGTGTTTTAAGACCACTCAATTCAAGCAGTTATTACCTCATATTATCATTTTTTGCAGTGTAGACCTACTGTAATTCTAGTTCTATTGTTTGTGGTTTGACAGATAGATAGAGAGCACCTTTAATATGTGTACTTTTTACCACATTTATTGAAGAAGAAGTTCCACTATAGTTCTGCTTTTTTCTCAATGGCATGACCTTTTAGACATAAAAACTAGGAACTGTTTTAAAAGTTCTTCTGAATTGATGAGCCAGCAGTTTTACCATTAACTTCTCCCCATTGTGTCTCTGCTGAGTGTTTGGTCAAGGTCTTGTGCTGATTCCCGTGTGGTGTCTGTGTGTGCCGAGGGAGTCTTTCTCTTATTTGCTTTAGGTGCAGTTCCTCCAGTTTCTCGCAGCTCAATTTCCCAAAAACAGAATCCGCGACCGAAGCCGAAACTGGAGCAGAGAGTTTGAACAAAGCGGAAGGTAGTTTTGTTTGGTCTTCTCTCTCTGTTTGGACCAATAACGTGACGGTAATGACCTCAGGGCGACCAGTTTAACTTTAGACTCAGGAGCTGGAGGTTTGGGGTCAATGACAAATAAGACACTAGTATTTCGAGAGTTTAGAAGCAGATTTATTCTATTTTATCACTGATCAATTATAGCCCTACACACGCTTTAAGCCGCAGTAACTTGTTAATGTATGTGTAGCTACTAGCATGTCTTTCACTTTGTTTTCATATCTTAGGATAATGGATGCTATTTAGCTAAAGTGCTAATTCCAGAATATTTGTGTTGATGCTGTTTGCAGATTCATTTATTAATATGTACTTTCCTAAATTCAATAAAATGTATAAAACTATATAAAAAACAGGTGTCTGTGAGTGGGCTTGCAACTCCATAACCTGACTTGCACTGTCTTTGTTTCCTTTGTTTATGTTTTTAACAATATATTGATCAGAATGAATGATCTAGTTGACTTACCCCAACTGACACACACACACACACAGGTAGAAACACACAGACACAGAGGGAGACACACACACACAGAAGTAGAGACACACACACACACAGTGGGAGAGACACACACACACACAAACACACACACCCCAAACTGATACTAGGCAATATGAGTGTCTTGCCTAAGGACACAATGACAGTTTGGGACTTTACAGCCGCCCCACAGTGGCACCTGATGCTACCGGAGGTCCCCCATCACAGTACTAACCTGACCCTGCCCAGCTTAGCCTATGGCATCTGATCTTTCACATGCAGGCGCAAAGAAATATGAATGAAAGGCGCAGAAGTGGCCCACAACCAACACATTATTACATTTCTGACAAGACCCTAATATTTGTGTTAATATTTGTGTTATTTATTACAGTTTTTTGTCCACTTAATCTTCAAATATTAAAAACAGGTGTAATGTTTATGCTAAAACCTGGCTCCAGCATCTCTCCTCTGACTTTGTCTTGGTTAAACATCATGTGCACTGTCCCTGTTCTAATAAATTCCTTCCTATGTGTTTTTTAGAGTGTAGCAGCATGGCTAACCAATAGACTGAAAGCATTGGGCTAACCACTTCAAACCGGTTTTTACATCATCTGCTCATTTCAAAATTCAAGGACTAGAAGTACTTATATATCAGTTTAAGAGTAAGGAGTAAAAGTAAGTGTTAGGGTTAGGATTTTTGTTTTAAAAAAGTAGAAAAGTCTAGATATCAGGAATAAGTTCTTAAATTTCAAAGCAGGCCTCAATCCTCAGTCTAACCAATGTGTGTGTTTTAGAGTGTAGCAGCACGGCTAACCACTTCAAACAAGTTTTATATTTTACAATTCAAGGAGTAGAAAGCAGTTATTTCAGTTTAAAAGGAGTAAAAGTATTACATTTAGCGTTATAGCAAGACCATGCTAATTCTTAACACATACATATAGGAATAAAGTTTATAACTACAGCTCTTGCAGTGAAAATACTTTGCTCAATTGTTTCTAATTTGTTTACAGAGCACAGCGTCCACCCCTCCTCCACCCTCTCCAAGCCGGTGTGCAGGTGCTGGTCCTGGGCAACTCCCCCTTCCACCTCCCCCTCTAACCTCCCCCTCTCTCCCTGGAGTTATAAAGGCAGTCTGTTTCTATAGCATCCTTTTTAAACACACACACACACACTCTCTTAACAGGTGTTTTCTCTCCACTCCTCTCATTCAAAGACAGATCTGAGAACCAGTTTTTTTCGGCAAGACCTAGACCTCTGACTTCCACCGCAATGTCGATGGGGATGGAGATTGTGGGCATCGCGTTGGGGGCCATCGGCTTCATCATCGCCATCGTCACCTGCGCCTTACCCATGTGGAGGGTCACCGCCTTCGTGGGAGCCAACATTGTCACGGCCCAAACCATCTGGGAAGGTCTGTGGATGAACTGCGTGGTCCAGAGCACGGGGCAGATGCAGTGCAAGGTCTACGACTCCATGCTGGCCCTGTCCCAAGAGCTTCAAGCCTCCAGAGCCATGCTCATCGTCGCAATCATCTTGGGAATCTTAGGAGTCATGATTTCCATTGTGGGGGCCAAATGCACCAACTGTATTGAAGACGAGGCCTCCAAAGCTAAGGTTATGATCATTTCTGGGATTTTCTTTGTCTTGGGTGGACTCTTGGTGCTTATTCCGGTGTCGTGGACGGCGAGCGTGACCATTCAAGATTTCTACAACCCGCTCTTGATCAGTGCCCAGAAGAGAGAGCTGGGGGCCTCCCTGTACATCGGCTGGGGTGCGGCTGCTTTGCTTCTAATTGGAGGAGCCATGTTGTGTAGCAGTTGTCCGCCCAAAGAGCAAAAGTACAAACCTCCCAGGATGGCTTACTCTGCGCCCAGGAGCAGCGGAGGATACGACCGCAAAGATTACGTCTAGTGACTTTTATACCTGCTTTTTCTTTCCTGATTCACGATGTGCACATTTGCTTCATGTCTTTGTGTGGGTTGTGTGATGTGTGTTGTGTGTGCTTATTCCCCCAGTGGGAAAAAAAAACAAACAGAGACTCCGAATTGAAGGGATATTTGTAAATAGTGTGTGTTTTGAATGTGATAGTTTTGCCTTGTTTTTTTTGTTTTTGTGTCAACTGAAGCCAATTCAACCAAAGTGAGTTTATTATAACAATTGATTCTTTCATAGAGAGGACAAAATAGGACAAATATTTACTTAAAAGCCAACTTATTGTCCATAAACTGTACAATCAGAAAGAGCCATGGAAAATTCACTTTTTGTGGACTAATCTACAACATTTTGTCTTCAAACAGCCAAAAAATACTGATAAAGCCAAATTGTACAACCTTTACTTCAATTTTTTTTGTGGGTTGAAAGTTATGCACCCCAGCTTTAAACCTACCCACCCACTTCCAACAATACCAGAATTTCTGCAGCACTGAATCCTGTACATCTCAAAACCCTGCAAGTAGTATAATGAAGATGGATTTTATTCTATAGAAATTGACGTTATTATAATATTATATTGACATTTGTTTCTGTAAGGCACAATAGAAAGTCGGTGTATATGTTGTTTTGTATTTAGGCGTGTTCACTAAAGTCTATTCAAAAAGCACCTGTCCCTATAGCTCCAAATCCAAACAGTGTCAAATTTCTCTCAAAAACGTCGGTTAAATGCAGTCCTGCTTCTCTCACCAGGAAGTACCGCCTCTCACCTTACCTGGGTTAGTTCAACCCATTGTCTTTGTGTGCGTCCGGGTGTGCTTGTGTGTGTGCTTTTGTGTGTGTGTGTGTGTTCGTTTGTGTGCGTGTGTGAGTTTGCGTATTATTTGCTTAGTAAGTTTCGACCAAAACCGACACCGTAGATGGAGTGCCTCAGGCGGCGTCTTTGTCCCTTTGATATTGTATGTGTTGTCGGAATTATGTCATAGAGTTGTTGTACATATATTTGTGTATGTGTGTGATAGGTATACTGTACATAGCGTCGTGTTAAAGTGGCTGTAATTTAGGCTTAAGTTGTGTTATGTTTACAGTGTGTAGTCTGGTGGTCGACATTTCAATAACGTGTATATACATGCTTTTAATAATGTTGTCATTTCTGTCTCTTTTAAGATTTAACTTAATAAAGGTTTTTTGTGTGGTATGAAAGAGGCTTGACAATTTTTCTAACTAGGAATAAACAGTATTTGCCTGTGGCTGTAACTGAATGTGAAAGTTTAAACTTGGAGCTAAGCAGGGCAGGGCCTGGGTAGTGCTGTGATGTGAGACCAGCGGGTGATAAGTACCATAATATTGTGTCCTTAGGCAAGAGACTTCACCCACATTGCATTGAACGAGTCTGGTGTGTGTGTGTGTGTGTGTGTGCGTGTGTGTATGATTGTAGGGGCTGATGGCACATAATACTCCTTTCAGTCTGTCCCAGGGCAGCCACGGAGTGAATGAATGAAGCCATATCTTTGAGTGTTCAGAAAAGTCTAGCATTATCATTATTATTGTCTGTGAATAAGTCTGTTTTATTATATATTAATCTAACATTTATTATCAATAAATATCTAAAAAAATATTGACTCTGCTAAACTCTTTAGCATTTGTGTGGTCCACAGCTGAGTAGTTTTTACCTCCAAATAACACAGATTAGACAATCATAAAAAAACAGCTAAATTATTATATTATACTTTTTGAATACACAATACATTTACAGTACCTGTCTTTAAATTGAAATCCTGCTTGGACTGAACCAAAGCTGGACTAAAGCGAAAGAAGGGTAATTATTGTGGACAGATGAATTTTTATGAGCATGACATTGTAGCACTCATTAAGTTGCAAACATTTATTGTGATTCTCATTCATTTAAATGGGGGGACAGAATTAAGTTTCAATGGTGAAATTTCAATATCACCGTTACACACATTACAGCAGAAAAAAAGGAGGAAATAAGAGCACTCCGAGGGCCACATAGACACGTGAATCAGGCCGCATGTAGCCCCCAGGCCGTACACATTTTATTATTTTTTTTATTTTTTATTTAACACCATGTGATACAGATTCCATAAAACGGCCTTTGGTCACGTGACTGGATCTTTAAAAATGCTACCAGGTGTGTCTGGTTTTTCAAGTCTGACGAAGGGCCTCAGCCCGAAACGTTACTATTTTGTGTGGTATGTAAATAAATTACACTGTTTTTGGGAGCTACATAGCTGTGCGGATTATTTTTCACTGTTTTCTACAGATTCCATAAAAAACATAAATTACTATGTACAACATAGTTGTGCAGAATATATTGGTGGGGGAAGGAAGAGGGAGTGGGGGGGGGGGGGGGCATGAAACAAAGAAAACAAAATACTTAATAAAAATAAAATAACAAGCAAGTACTTTTGTGGAAATATGTAGGTGCTAATGTGTAAGTGTGGGTGTTAATGTATTTGAGTGTTTGTGTATATGTACAGTATATTGAGGTATTTGATGAAGGGTGACCATGTTTCCGGGAAGGACAGTACGTTATCATCCTGAGATGATGGGTGATGTGTGGTGATGTGATGGGTGAGGGAGTTGATCCAGTGGTTGATACTTATTGAGTTTTTGGTTTTCCAGTTTAGTAAGATTATCTTCTTGGCGATAGCTAGAGATGTCAGAAGGCATTTTGTGTATCTGGTAGGTATGGGGCTGGTAGAGGTGGCGCTCAATAGACACAGAGATGGGGAGAGCGGGACTCTGCAGCTCAGGATGTCAGAGAGCTTTAGAGTGACTGTGTGCCAAAAGGATTGAACTGGTGTGCATTCCCACAGTGCATGTACAGTGCCTTGCGAAAGTATTCGGCCTCCTTGAACCTTTCAACATTTTGCCACATTTCAGGCTTCAAACATAAAGATATAAAAATTAAGAATCAACAACAAGTGGGACACAATCGTGAAGTGGAACGAAATGTATTGGATAATTTAAACTTTTTTAACGAATAAAAAAACTGAAAAGTGGGGCGTGCAATATTATTCGGCCCCCTTGCGCTAATACTTTGTAGCGCCACCTTTTGCTGCAATTACAGCTGCAAGTCGCTTGGGGTATGTCTATCAGTTTTGCACATCGAGAGACTGGAATTCTTTCACATTCTTCCTTGCAAAACAGCTCGAGCTCAGTGAGGTTGGATGGAGAGCGTTTGTGAACAGCAGTCTTCAGCTCTTTCCACAGATTCTCGATTGGATTCAAGTCTGGACTTTGACTTGGCCATTCCAACACCTGGATACGTCTATTTGTGAACCATTCCATTGTAGATTTGGCTTTATGTTTTGGATCATTGTCCTGTTGGAAGATAAATCTCTGTCCCAGTCTCAGGTCTTTTGCAGACTCCAACAGGTTTTCTTCCAGAATGGTCCTGTATTTGGCTCCATCCATCTTCCCATCAATTTTAGCCATCTTCCCTGTCCCTGCTGAAGAAAAGCAGGCCCAAAGCATGATGCTGCCACCACCATGTTTGACAGTGGGGATGGTATGTTCAGGGTGATGAGCTGTGTTGCTTTTACACCAAACATATCGTTTTGCATTGTGGCCAAAAAGTTCGATTTTGGTTTCATCTGACCAGATCACCTTCTTCCACATGTTTGGTGTGTCTCCCAGGTAGCTCGTGGCAAACTTTAAACGAGATATGGATATCTTTGAGAAATGCCTTTCTTCTTGCCACTCTTCCATAAAGGCCAGATTTGTGCAGTGCACGACTGATTGTTGTCCTATGGACAGACTCTCCCACCTCAGCTGTAGTTATCTGCAGTTCATCCAGAGTGATCATGGGCCTCTTGGCTGCATCTCTGATCAGTCTTCTCCTTGTTTGAGATGAAAGTTTGGAGGGACGGCCGGGTCTTGGTATATTTGCAGTGGTCTGATACTCCTTCCATTTCAATATAATTGCTTGCACAGTGCTCCTTGAGATGTTTAAAGCTTGGGAAATCTTTTTATATCCAAATCTGGCTTTAAACTTCTCCACAACAGTATCTCGGACGTGCCTGGTGTGTTCCTTTGTCTTCATGGTTCTCTCTGCGCTTTAAACAGAACCCTGAGACTATCAAAGAGCAGGTGCATTTATACGGAGACTTGATTACACACAGGTGCATTCTATTTATCATCATCAGTCATTTAGGACAACATTGGATCATTCAAAGATCCTCACTGAACTTCTGGAGTGAGTTTGCTGGACTGAAAGTAAAGGGGCTGAATAATATTGCACGCCCCACTTTTCAGTTTTTTATTTGTTAAAAAAGTTTAAATTATCCAATAAATTTCGTTCCACTTCACGATTGTGTCCCACTTGTTGTTGATTCATGACAAAAAATTAAAATTTTATATCTTTATGTTTGAAGCCTGAAATGTGGCGAAATGTTGAAAGGTTCAAGGGGGCCAAATACTTTCGCAAGGCACTGTATGTACGTGTCTGTGGAGCCCATTGTGCATCGAGTGCATGTGCTTGTGTCCGTTAGTCCCATTTTATGCTTTCTGTGTTCAGGTATATGTGTTCTGTGAATAATCCTGTATTGTATCATTTGTAAATTGGTGTTTGGTGTCATGGAGAAGGTGTTGGTGCATATTTCTGTCCAGAACTCATGTGTGATGGGGGAGTCAATGTCCAGGTTCCATTTTTCTTTTGGGGTGTGTATTGTTTGGTCTGTATCAAGAAGTTGTGTAGTTTGGATATTAATTTTTTCATAGTTTTAATGTTTTTTATATTTTCAATGAGTTGGGGCGCAGTTAAGGGATTGTGCTGTATGTTAATCTTGCCTTTGATTATGGATTTGATTTGGAAATATTGAAATGTGCCGTTTTGGTTGAGATTGAATTTGTTAGTTGTTTATATGTCATAAATGTGTTGTTGTAGTTGAATAAATGTCCGAGGTGGGTGATTCCTTTTTGTTCCCATGTATGGTAGTGCAGTGGTGTGTTATTTG